TTTTGTCAAATGCTTTTTCTGCATCTATGGAGATAATCATATGGTTTTTGTCCTTGGCTCTATTGATATAGTGTATTACATTGATTTATTTTCATGTATTGAACCATCCCTGCATCCCTGGTATGAATCCCACTTGATCAGGGTGTATGATCTTCTTGATGATCTTCTGCATTCTGTTTGCTAGTATCTTATTAAGGACAGTAGCATCAAACTGTGTAGAAAAGGACAAACTGATAACTTCATTTACCACCTTTAAATGTATGAAATATATTTGTGATTATATAACAAAATCTAAAACCAGAAAATTGTATACAGTAAGTATGCTCTTAATATGGTGATTTTGCCCTCAGGGAAGAAAAGTTAAAATGGATTAAGGAGAAAACAAATAGCAGAAGAGGGAGATATTTGAAGCAAGAGTGGAGTACAAAGGAAGATTACAAAAATTTTGGGAAACTGGTGAAGAAAGAAGGAAAGAAAAAAGGAAGAAGGGTAATCTAGAACAGAACAGAACAACAACACCAAAAAACTAGAAACAATGTTCACATTCATCAAAACAAGAACAAAACAAAAGAAAAAAATTTCTAAGGAAAAAATCCACTTCAAGGTGCATTTCTGCTGTGACTGGTAGACACACTGAGCAAACAGAATCCAAATCTGTGTTGATTAATCCCAGCAAGCCAGTTGTAGATTTATGGTGGTTTAGTAGATAATTGCAAGAAGCCCGAACCTTTAGTTTCCCCAAAGTTCAGGTTGATTTCTGGCCGTAAGGCTGCAACCCAATTTGTTCAGGCTGCAACACTCCTTGTGCCTCCAGCCAGGTTGAACTTGGCTCCTTCAACTTGAACTCAGCTTTTTGACCTGCTGCCTTGAACTCAGTTCTGCCTCACCTTGACCCTGGAGCTGAGTGCTCTGAGTTTTGAGCACAGTTGGTCCCTCTCCAAGATGGCTACCAGCCAATTGTCCTCTCCTGGGGGATGTCTGAACTCTAATAAATCATCAGCCATTGCAGTCTGCTGTGTCCACTGCTCCATTTCACAGATATGTTTCTCTGTGTAGGCCTTTGATGTTGCCAGTAGTCACCATGTGGCTTCAGGTTCAAGCCACCCTTCCCATGCAGTGAGTTAGGGCTCAGGGAGAGAGCACCACTTGCTACCTCCTCCTTTATTGAAGTCTCTTCACTCTCCCCATTGGCTTCAGTTCTTACTTCAGATCCTTGATTGGTCCTGGGGCCCCCTTCTCTCCTCTTCCTCATGTTACTATATTCCAGCAGTGATACCAAATCTCAGAGATGCTGTTTCTCTACATTCACCACTCCACTATCTTCCCAGAAGTCCTCAACTGTAATTAAAAGAAATTGCAAAATGGATCAAAAAACAGTATTTAATATTCTGTTGTATGAAAAAATGTCATCTAATTCAAAGATTTATAGAGTAAAAATCTAAAGATGGGAAACAGTATTTCATAGACTAAGACACCCCCCCCCCCCA